AAATAAAAAGCTAAACGACATTCCGACTGCGTATTCTGTGCTGCGTTTTTGCTACAACCGGAGAGTTAGGCGAAACACGTAGGCAGATTGCGACATAACATTTTCCTCCTACCTACATATAAGTTTGTGTTTTACTTTTGGTTAGGTAAGAGGACCTGCTACCAACGTGCAAAATATTTGACATGTCGAGTGTCTGCGGCAAGTAATTGGACGTGGTTCATAGTCAGGTTCCCGTGAGGACTGATCGAGAAGGTAAACGGTTTTGTATTCTATCGAACGCTTAAAGTGGGCTACTTACAGCATAATCAGGCTAGAAGCGATGTCGTAGAGCCTTATGTACTAAATTTAGAATAAACATGAATTTACAGACTTCTGAAAGCCTCAATCACCCTCTCAGCTGGTTGTATGTGTACATTGTCAATGACTGCATTGTTATGCAGAAATGATATCAACATGCCATTGTCTGGTCTCCAGAATGGAATGTCATGATGATTATATATACTTTTCTCGTGCCCATAGCAAGTGTGAATAACGCTTTTAAAAGAAGCTAAAGAATACGCAAAGTTAAGGCGGCTAGAAGAGACATTTCAGCAACTGGCGCTACGACCGCATAGGTAAACAATTATATTTAGTAACATGGTAAGTCGGAATTAAGTTATTTGTATCGCTGACAGCTACAAACAAGTAAGCCTGGAATTGATATTGCATTGCCTTTATTACTTGACGGCATTACTTAAAAGCGGCTGCTTAGTTTCACCTTAGACCCTGATCACATTCAACTGTACTAAATCTTTGTCACGGGGCCATGTTATTTTCTGATGATTGAAAGAGATGTTGACATCAATGAATGCTCTTTGTGATGCTAGGTTTTGCTTTTGAACTTCGGGCGCGTCTGAGAATTTGAGTGGCAAAGGTTAACTGACCTGTCTAGTGACCGCGTATGGTCAGCGCTCTGCGAGGTTGAACAACAAAGGTAACAAGCGTCATTTTATAGAGGGTTCAAAGTAAACTTATTGCACTGTAATCGATCTGATCGTCTCGTGAGCGATTCCACTAAGCCAAAACAAACGTAAGTGTATTCCGAGGACTCTGCGAACACTAGCCCTACTCGCAAACTACGCTGTAATGCCAGGAGGAAATTGACTTGCCATAAACCCAGCTCCCCTGCCAGACAACTATAGAAACGCATATAGGCACGTTGCACAGGACATTTCATTCACGCATGGCCATAAATGAGCAAACATGCATATTCCAGAATTTGATATGATGTGCCACCCGTGCTCTGGTTTAAATCAACTATCACATCCAAATAGATAATGAAGTAATATGTAGCAAGAATCGGTCATTTGGCCATGCCACCGACATTTCTGGATAATAAGACCAACCCGTAATACTGTTTGTTGTTGCGTTAAATTCTGACAAAAATACATTTAGGATTAAATGCAATGATAAAACTAAGCTTACAGTGGCAATACATGATGCGATAGGTTAAAATTTTATGTTAGGTTTAATGTTATTGTTTGGGCTGAGTACCCCTTCTGGAACCTAAATTTAGGCCACCTATGCTATCTGGGGAATGTCACTTTCCTTCTTCCCTGACAACCACAATATAATCTTTCGTCTCCCAAAATGTGTGCGCGCTAGCTCATACATTGTTCAAAATATTCGCTCATCTCCTACGTAAATGAGTTTTAAACAACTTTCAGACAAGACAGAAGTTCCCTAGACAGGTATATTGCAAGTGTAATATATTTTGCAACAGTATTACTTTCATTAAACCTACATGCATTTCGCAAACAGCAGATTAGATGAAGTGTGTGTCTGTTACAGCCTCCTTCCTTCTGAATGTGCAAAAGATGTATTTTAAGAAGACCACGTGTCAACGCCAATTTATTTCTTCTGTTATCATCTCACTTTATCTCAGTAAAAAATGACCTAAAGTAGCATGGAGTTAAATTGCACAAAGTAACCGATTGACCGTCTAATGCAGCATTGAATTTGGTCAAGAGTTCAGCGACATGCAGTGCAGAGACGTAATTCTGGGTTGTCTGTCATATGAACCGTGAAGGCTAGGGACTTTTCTGGCGACCGGAGTGTTTTAAGAGATGCAAACGTGAGTGACATGCTGAGTTGACTTGGGTGTGGGTAGGCCTGTCCGACAGGTCGGCGTAGACTACTACGGAGTAGTTTTGAACTGTCGTCGTCTTTTAGCACAGATTCTTGCCACTACAATCCCGGCGATGTCAAAATTACCTCCGTTCTCGGTATCTGTCCAAGGTGCCTTCTATATTTTCGGTGCTGGCGTGTTCGCACCTTAAACTGTTTATCACCAGCCACTTACAGGAACCAATTTACAGACAACGGCAGTGGACGACTGTTGATCCTCATTCACATCAACTCCCTCTCCCAAATTAAGCTGACTGACGCGAAATGTTAATGTATCTATGGCAAAGGGTGAAACTAGGAGAATAGACAGCGCCATCCTTGCGCATGCAGTGGACTCAGGGCATCGTGTGGACCCCACCGAAGCATTTCGTGTGATTTACAAGGTCCCCTCGAGCTACCCTAAGCTACTGGGCCAGCGCCTGCTAGCAACAGCAGAAGCGGCCGCCATAAGGTTACGAAAACCGACCCTATGCGCCCAAAAGAACCTTGTTCAGGCTCCGCGCTTACCGTGGTCAAAGGGTGACTAACCACATACACCTTTCGGCGCCCTTCCGCTCTTGCCGAGCCTGTAATTTAAAAGCTAACTTTTATCGATTTTGTTTCACTCACTGTACCCCGCCCTATGTAATTGTATTGGCCTGATGAGAATTTACCGAAAGGAACGTTCACTCGCCACTCTCTCTTCAAATAGATTCGTCAAAGTTGAAACTGCGGACAGCATTTAAGGATCATTTGCTATTTAACTTGTTACATATTGCCGTGGCCGAAACCGCATTTTCAGATTTGACATGGCGTATGTGACTGGAAACGGATTCGCATTATTGAGCAAACACCTGCATCTCATTCAGTATATTGACTTGAATTGTTGTCACACCCGCATGAGTATTTGTCACTGAGCGTTCATGACAAATTTTAGCAGGTGAATGTTGTGCTTTATTAGCACCTCTTTCACAAGTGCAAGGAAGCTGTAAACGCGAGACGTAGCAGTCACTCTCAGTTTGATTTGGCTTCCTGGGCGCAAAGTAAGTGGCATTACTTCAAGCCACGCATACAATCAAATTGATGAAGATAGCCGTTTACGACGTTGGAAAGTATGTTGTCCGACATAACTATATCTTTTTGCAGCGGCTGATATGTTAGAAATATGATAAAAGGAGCATTATTCCTCAAGGTTAAACTATAAAGTCGATTATTCATACCAGGAAAACTGTTCCAAAAAGGACTCAATTGTTCACATGAAGAACACGTTTGTTTATCTTCATTGAAAAATGCCCAGTTGTACAGGCTCCTCAGTTTTGAACTGTCGAGAATTCCTGCTGGCACTCTATGGACTTGGCATTTACCATCTCGTGTTGCAGAAAGTCGTTGAAGTCACTGTCAGGGATGCTTAGCATCTTTGATAAGTAGGGCGTGAGGCGTTCATATGAACTTTCAGAAGCATTTGTGTATTCACTGCAGAGGTTCAGAGAGGAAATTCGAATCACATTTGGCGGACTGTTAACCACTTTCCAGTAAGTGAAATCAATAATTGCCTTCAGTGCTAAATTGTGTAACATGAATGTGAAATATCTGACGCAGTGTCTGTTGGTTGGTTTCGCCTATAAGGTCTTTACAAAACGCTTCTACGTTTGGCGGCTTGCCATTCCCACAGTACATGGAAACGGGAAATACGTAACTAACAAATGGCTTCATGATACGACCTAGAATGGGCCACAGTTCAGACCTCGTCTTGCGGTAAGGATGCAAACCATCTGACAGTTCGACTATCCGTTTCGATGATGTCCACCGTCTGCCCCACAGCTGCAGCAGCGGTGGGAGCAGGGACGGTGACTTACGCAGGGGTTTGTAGTGCGGGTAGACTTGCGCTGCATCTACCTACACTCTCTCCTCCTCCCCGCCTGGGCCCGGTGTCAAGACAGAGTCAAGAAGACCGGAGACGAGGGAGGCCGCAGGTGGATGGCTCGGACGGATCCTCACCTTGGCGTTCCACCACACCCCCTGGTCCACACAACAATGACCAGGATTTCAACCAACACAACACAGATTTGGAGGCTGGCACGGCCGAAGCCGCACCTGGGCGTGCCGCCAACGCCTGGCTAGGATCCCACACTGTGGTAGGAGTGCCATAAAGGCCACATTAAAAAGGAGCCATTGCAGCATGACTCTCAGACCGCCTCCAGTGAAGGAGGAGGTCCAAGGTACCCCGTCAGTTGGCAACCTTCCAAGCCACGGCTTTTAGCGCACCGTGATAGCTTCAAGCGCATCAGATTGATTATAGTGAGGAAAATGCGCTGAGTCGTCGACCTCACTCTCCCTTCCCATTCCCACACCCCAACCACTGTCCGAGCCGGTCAGTAGACTGCAGTGGGAAGTGGGCGCGGTGGCTGCCACGGTCGACTGGCCGTGACTGCGAGCGCCACAGCACGACCTGGCCCCCCATACACACACAAACACCAGGATTTCACACAACGGGGGTTGAACGGCGTGTCCCCCACTTACGTGAGAGGGCCGTGGAAGGTGCTGTTTCAGCCCATCCCCAGCCCACCAGTCCGCCACTACACACAACACACACTCACAACGTGACGAACTGCGTGAACCGAGGGCAGGCCTCAATCAGCAACCTTCCTATCCACGACACTTGACGTGTCGGGATAGTCTCGGACACAAGTCACCCGTGCAGCCGAAGCCGCATGGGGACCGAGTCGAGATGCACGCTTCCCACTTGCGTGGGAGGCGGCAGTTGAGTGCATGAGGTGTGTGAGGGTTGATGTCTGGTGGGGTGATGGTGTTAGGAGGTAGGGAGTGAGGGAATGTGTGGTGTGACCGGCGGTTGTCTACCGCAGGTCGTCGTGGATGCGCATGTGGCCGAATAGACCCATGCGATGCGTGAAGGTGCGAGGGCAGTGTGGACAGTGGAGGCGAGTGCGGTGGGTGTAGGTTGGTGCTCCAGGCACCGGTTCGCCAGTCTCTGTGCGATTGATTCGCAAGTGACCGACCAGGCCGATGTGTGAGGTGAAGGTGCGTGGACAATGTGGGCATGAGAGGTTGGCGGTGTCGGTGTCAGCTGTAGAGGAAGCAGTGGTGTTGGTGGTGGTGGTCGGCGCGTGTGACGGTGGAGCGAGGATGGGTCTGAGCGTAGTGGATGTGTTGTATGTCGTGGCTGTATCGGAATTGTGGTCAATTCCGCTCTCGTGGATGCGCATGTGGCCGAATAGACCCATGCGATGAGTGAAGGTACGAGGGCATTGTGGGCAGTGGAGACGAGTGCGGTGGGTGTAGGTTGGTGCTCCAGGCACTGGTTCGCCAGTCTCTGTGCGATGGATTCGCAAGTGACCGACCAGGCCGATGTGTGAGGTGAAGGTGCGGTCGCAGTGAGGGCAGGTGTAGTCCTGATTCTCATCACTGGAATCGGGAGGGGTGGGGGTGGTTGCGGTTGCTGTGTCGTGGTTGGCGATGTGTGAGCCGGCAGCCTGAACGGCCACCGCTGGGGAAGTGGAGGAGAAGGAGGAGGATGGAAGTGGTGGTGCAGACGGAGTGTCAGAGTTATTTTGCGGCACAGAGGACGAGGAAGAGGCGGGCTGGGGGACGATGGCTGGAGCAGTTCGACAGGCGCAGTTGGTTCGAAGATGTCCAACAAGTCCGATTCGTGCCCGGAATGTCCGTTGACATCGAGGACACGTAGGGAGAGGTTGTGCGGCGGCGTTGCGTCTTGGGCGAAGTTGTGATTTGCGGACTTCGCTTTTCACTTTGGCGGCGGCGATGCGGTTGGCTTCGTAGATAGCAGCGCCCGTCTTCACTGTTCTCCTCCATGTCGGGCAATCGCGGGCGAGCTCTTCCCAGTTGGTCGGGTTGATTTGCAGGCGCTTCAGGGAGGACTTCAGAGTATCCTTGTAACGGCGAATTTGGCCGCCTTGACGACGAGAACCCGTCGCGACGTCTCCGTAGAAGAGTCGTTTGGGTAGTCGCTCGTCGTCCATGCGCAGCAGATGGCCGCTCCAGCGCAGCTGCATTTGTCTCAACATGGAGTAGATGCTCAGAATTCCCGTCCGTTCCAGTACTTCCGTGTCGGGGATTCGATCCTGCCAGTTCAGGCTCAGGATGCGGCGGAGACACCTGAGTTGGAAGCGGTTTAGTCGACGTGCCTGCCTCGTGTACACCGTCCAGGACACCGCTCCGTACAGTAGTGTCGGCAGGATGACGGCCTTGTACATCTTCAGCTTTGTGCTCAGTTGGAGACCATGACGATTCCAAACTGTGCTTTGGAGGCGACCGAAGGCTTGACTGGCTTTCGAGATCCTGTTGGCGACTTCGTCGTCGATCTTGGTGTTGCGGGAGAGCGTGCTGCCCAGGTACGGGAAGTTCTCTACCACTTGCAGTTGAGTCCCATTCACGTTGATTTGCGGCGACGCGTAGGGGCCTGTGGCTGAGTTGGGAGGCGGCTGATGCATCACCACTGTCTTCTGCGTGTTGATAACCAGCCCAAAGTTCTCGCAGGCGGCGGCGAATAGGTCCATGCTCCGTTGCATCTCCTCTTCCGAGGTGGTGTTCAGGGCGCAGTCGTCGGCGAAGAGGAGTTCTTGCACGGTGGCTGTGGATACACGCGATTGGAAGTTCATGCGCCGGTGATTCAGAAGATGACCGTTCGTTCTATAGGCGATGCGGATTCCAGGGCGTTCTTCGCGGTAGGCGTCCATCAGCATGGCAGAAAACATAAGACTGAAGAGGGTAGGCACCAGCACACAGCCCTGCTTCATTCAGTTGGTCACTGCGAATGCCTCTGAGACAGCTCCGTTTTCCGTGACTCGCGCAATCATACGGTCGTGCAGCTGACGCACCATCTGAGTGAATCGCTCCGGACAGCCGAATTTCTGCATGATCTTCCACAGTCCTTCACGATTCACCGTGTCGAAGGCTTTCGTCAGGTCCACGAATGTAGAGTACAGGTGGGTCCGCATCTCCTGGCACTTCTCCTGAAGTTGGCGGGCTGCGAAGATCATATCCGTGGCCCCACGATGACGACGGAAGCCGCATTGGCTTTCCGGCAGAAGGCCCTGTTCCAGATGGTTGTTGAGGCGGGTGAGCAGGATGCGATCGAAGATCTTCCCAGCGATGTTCAGTAGGGAGACGCCGCGGTGATTGTCGCAGACTTGGCGATTCCCCTTTCGCTTGTAAAGGTGCACGATTGTTGCGTCCTTGAAATCTTGCGGGACTTCACCTTGACGCCACATCTCCTGGAAGAGCGCAGTCAGCTGATCCATCAGTTGGGGAACTCCGTGCTTGTAGACCTCAGCAGGGATGGCGTCCGATCCGGGTGCTTTCCCGCTGGAGAGCTGATGCACGGCCCTGATCGTTTCCTGGAGAGATGGCGGGAGGTCGAGGTCCACGTTGGTCTCTACTTGCGGCAAGCGGGCGATGGCGGCGTCGGAGATGACGGAAGGGCGGTTGAGGACGCCTCGGAAGTGCTCGGCCCATCGCTGCAGGATTTGTGTCCTCTCAGTCAGGAGAGTGCTGCCGTCGGCGCTGAGGAGAGGAGCAGTGCCCTTCGTCGGCGGACCGTAGACAGCTTTGATTGCGGAGAAGAAGTTCTTCCATTCGTTGCGGTCCGCGTACCCTTGGATCTCCTCAGCTTTGCGAGCAGTCCAGGCGTCCTGCATCTCGCGCAGTCGTTGCTGAAGCTGTCGGCGACTGCGGTAAAAGGCAGCTTTGTTGTCCTCAGTGGGGTGATCTACGTAGGCTTTGTGTAGGCGGTTCTTCTCGGAAAGCAGATTGCTGATGGCAGCGTCGTTGTCGTCGAACCAGTCCTGGTGTTGGCGGGGAGCGCGACCGAGGACGGCGAGCGCCGTCGACTGGACTGTGTCCCGCAGTAGACACCAGCGGTTCTACACGGAGGCGTTCTCGGCAGCGGCGGCGGCGTCGTCGGCGGCAGCGATTGGAAGGTTGTCTAGCCGTTGAGCTAACTCATTTCTGAAATGGAGACGGTGAGCAGGCAAAGACAACAAAGCAACATTCAGATTACCTGGGGGTCGCTTACCTTGTGGTCTTCTGCGAGGCTGTAGGCGAATACGCATTTTCGAGATGACGAGGCGATGGTCGGTCCACCCGTCAGCACCCGCGATCGCCTTCTTCACCAGCACGTCCCGCTGATCTCGCCTCCGGACGAGGACATAGTCCAGCAATTGCCACTGGCGCGACCGAGGATGCCTCCAGGTGGCCTTCTCTCGCTCCGGCAGGCAGACGACGGTGTTCGTCAGGATGAGGCGGTGTTCTGCGCAGGCGCGAAGCAGTAGCAGACCATTGTCATTGGAGCCGCGGAGACCGTGAGTACCAGCACTCCCCACCAGGCAGTATGGTCTGTGCCGACGCGGGCGTTGAAGTCGCCAAGGACAATCAACTTGTCCGCCTTCGACACAGTCGCCAAGAGGGCGTGCAGGTCCTCGTAGAACTTGTCTCTTGCGGCGGCGTCGGGGCTGCTCATCGGCGGAGCGTAGGCGCTGATGAGTGTGGCGAATTTGCCCCACCCCGCAGAGGCAGACGGAGGCTCATCAGGCGATCGTTGATACCCTGCGGCAAACAGGGTAGTCGTCCCACGATGTCGTTCCGGATAGCGAAGGCGACACCCGCGTCTCGTCGCTCTGCCTTGGGTCGACCACTCCAGAAGAAGGTATAGCCGGCACCCACCTCCTCCAGTTGGCCTTGTTCGGAGAATCGGGTCTCGCTGAGTGCGGCGATGTCCACCTTGTAGCGCGCCAGTTCTCGTGCCACTGGCGCCGTCCTCCGTTCCGGTCGGTTGCTCCTCGGATTGTCTAAAAGGGAACGAACATTCCAGGCTGCCAGAGTGAGCGGACTCACTCTGCCAGTCTGATGACAACGAGTGGGGCGAAGGGAAGGAGGTCTGAGAAGAAGATGGCGAAGGAGAAAAATAGGCAGTGGAAGAGAAAGAAGAGGTAGGATGAGGAGGTGAGCGAGTATTGTTGTTGTTGTTATAAGTATTGTTGTTGTTTCGATTTTGATTGTTTCGACCATGTTTAGACGTCAGCAGCCCTGGCTAGCCTGTTTAGGCCACATTTTCTAGGCCCTTCCCCTCGGGGGGCCTGGCAGTGCCATCCCGGAATAGGGCTGCCATGCGCCGTTGTGGCACGGCCGAACTCCACTATGGGGCCACGACTTCGGGTTGTAGTGGAGAGCGACTCGAATTCGCCGTAAGCCGCGGTCTCCGACAGCGTAGGTGGGCGCGTCAAGGCGATGTCGATGTGGAGATCCATCCCGTCACCGGCTGTCCAGCGGCGTGCAGAGACGAACCACGTCACGACGGTGTCGACGCAAGGTTCCATCCGACCTTCCATCCAGCGGAATCCGCAAACCCTGTGCACACGGCACAGCGCGCAGTGCCCCCTCACCTGGTTTAGCCCGCCGGTCGAGATGGTTGCCCGGGGTGTGGCCGCTGGGCAGAGCCCAGCTACGTGAAGCCACAGGTGAGAGTTTAGTGGCAGCAAGTGAACGCTAGGCATAGTCTTACCTGCAAGCAAGTGAGCGACCACCACGACCATCACGAGAACCCACCGCTGACACCCCTACACCCCGGCAAACCATCTATAGCTAGATTCACAATCATATCTTCATTGTCTGCGACTACGATTTCACTATCAACTTATCTGCGCATTTGTTTCTGCAGCCCAACATAAACGTACTTTCCACAACCCATGGGGACTACTTGCAAGTTATACGATGGCCCCAACAGTGTACGAGGGTCTTCGGGTAATTGCGGGACTGTCATCCACATTATGCCTAGCAGACTTCGTAAATGACTGTGCGGTATACGGCATTGCAAAGCCCAATCACGCAGTCTTGTCCTTATGCGTTCACTTCGTGGCACGTCATCATTATGGATGACATTGTTCGCCCAAGAAATACTGTCAGCAGATGCTAAATCACCTAACAATGACGTTGGTTGACTAAAGCTCCCACTTCCATCGTCTACTGAGTTACCAACAGACGACTCGCTGTCTGAACAGTCCGCTCGATAACGTTTGCTACGGCCAAAGAGCAGATCCACTTCTGCATCTATTTCTCTTGATATTTCCGCTATCTTCTTCTTCTTTACATTCCGCCTAATAGTGCGTTTACATTCATGCCTAAACATTTGAACAATAAAAAGATGGGTTAATGAATCAAGTAAGATTATAAGAGATTGAAGCAGAGAGCAGTTGATAGCACACGACGCACGCGATACGCAAGCAATAATGGCGACGTGCATGCGGCGTGGGAGCACCGATAGCTCAAGCGTGCCAGCCAATGACTGTGAGAAATCGATAAACTCGCCGACCAATCAGGTGACGAGATAGCCCAATCGCCAGATTTCCGCGATAAGAGTGCATCAGGTAGCTATTGAATGCTACTAGGGTTTAACAACGTGCATGTTGCAAGGACATAGGTGAGAGGCAACGAAAAACAAAATGCGATCTATAAATTCCCTGGCAGAGTTAAAAATTAAACTTATATCTTCATCTTACCTCTTTAATTATATGAACTTCGGCGTTAGAGAAAGGCGCTAAACACGCGTATTGCCAGTATATGGCTGTCCAGTCGTCCCGTAAAAATGTGCACTCAAATGTTAAGTGCTCCTCATAGATTATAAGTACTATGTATGCACGCCCATATATGTTCCCGATTACTTTCTCAAATCGGTAGTCTTCAGCGTGCCGAGTGACGTATTCAGCAGCATCATTGAGAATAAAGCCGTAGGTAGAGCACTGTAAATGTGCAAGGACGTTAAACGTGTTTTTAAAACGCCATTTAGATGGATTACTTTACCAGGCAAGGCATGAAAATTAATGGGATAGAGTAGAATCGTGACAAAAGAAATGATGTTGGTCGGACTTTAGTTTCGCATTTCTTCTTTTTTCTTACATAAAAACAGGTATAGATGCATATATGTGCGTATAGGTACAGAACGATGGGCATCCCAAGAAGCACAACCCGAAGAAAAATGAGTCTTTTGGGGAATTGGACGAACTACATATCATAAATTTTCGATGCTGGCTCACAGGTCGTATTTAAACGTGTATTAAGCGTGACAAACAGTTACAATTGAAACATGCCCTAAAATCGATCTTGCTTTTTCAGTGCCGACTGACTCACATTTTGGTTGGTTCTCCACGTTCGATTTTTCTTTGAAATTTGTTTACTTGGGTTTCAGTACGATGCGCCGTTTAATGCATAATTCACCAAAGAGAAGGGCCACTAGAAATTCTCGAACTTTTTTATATAGTCAAAATCGACAATGCGGGCTTTGTCCCAAGAAAGTGTGTGCCCAGTTTCTATATCATACAAGACTACTTGGGAGCAGAAGTCTAGCCTTTTCATTGTCAATTTGTGTTCAGTTTGGCGAGTTTAGACGAATTTCCCGGTTCGGACACAATATAACTACTAACAAATTGGAATTTTTTTTTGATAAATTCAAAGTCGATATGTAGCCCAGCTTGTGGCGTTAAATTGTAATCAAGTGAAACCAGTCAAATCCCTATGGTAATTCATTATAAAGGCATAGATAACGTGTTTTGCTCGCATTGACTGTCATACAGGTGCACTTGAGGACTGTTCACTAAAGCCCCTATGCTCAGTAATGCCACCGTTAGATAATTACGGAACTGTCGCAAATAGGCCGGCAGCGTCGAGACCGTATTTTGAATTCCTGTATAGCGACATACGTTAAAACTGGCTCGTCGATATTTAAATTTGGAGGATGTCCGGATGATCATGGGCGGGTACTGTCGTGACCCCACCTAAATATAAACGCAGCGAGCCAAGATGCATCAGTCAGCATCAGAGGGCTTGTTAACACATTTCCAATCGCTTAAGAGCAGCAAACAGGAAACCTAACAGCAAAATAACTAATGCTTACAACCAAAGCTGAATGAACTAGTCATTAAACAACCGAACGACAGTACTGACGACTACGAGACGCCGCCCACTTGACCATCGGACGCAAGCGACGCCAGCGCCAGGACTGATGCAACCGCAACGACACAGCCGTCAGTAGCCCGCTGGTCGAGAAGAACAGGCTACACAGAGCCTACCTTTGACCGTCTAACCGATGAAAACAAGACAGCCATCCACGAATATTGCCGCCTTGCGCAGCAGATGTTGCGAAAAATGCAGGACGTTTGGATGGCTTGCACAGACGTGGATATCCGGAGGTACACCGACTGCATAAAATCGAGGAACTGATTAGCTGTGATCAGCACAGCATACGGCGACTTCCCAATAGAAGCGAAGAGACGAATCCAATGAAGTAGTCTGGAACAAGGAGACAAGAGCATTATTAGTCTGACTTTTCGGATTCATGCTCGAATCCATCGTCAGAGACAACATCAGATAAAAATGCTTCACGCACAAGGGGCTGCAGTATGTATAGGATGCAGTCACCATGCTACCGCATACCTATGAACATTCACGGATCACACCTTCATCCACGACCGTTGCACATGTTGTAATGACTGCTTGATGGCCGAAATTCGCGTCGTTAATTTCAGCAATTTCATCACGTGTGTGGGATGTTGGCGTGATGATTGTTCGACCATCTGATCCGCCGACCCTGTTGTTGGGACATGTGTTCACATGTGCGCTCCCCGCGGGCTAATTACTCCGCCTAGGCAAAGATTCATCACCGAGTATGGAAGAGGAAGATCATTGCACTTGTTAATTGACTGGGGGCAGTAAACCCTGACTTAGGTAGCTTCCGGCTCACGCCGTTGTCACATAATGGCAGATTTTCAGCCTAGTTTAATTTGAATGTGTGGCGGCATCTCATCGAATGAGCCGCAACTTGAGAGCTGGCGTCATTTATCCGCACCACTGCAGCGTGTTCGGCCATTCGCTTCGGAGCTGTCTTCCGGTTTCTCCGACGTAGTTGCTTTGTCCGCAGCTGCGCCAGATCCGATAAACGACTCCAGACGTTTCTAGCCGTGGCAGCGGGTCCTTCGGTTTCATGACCAGACGCCTGATGGTTGCCTCCGGTCTGTGTGCCACTCCAACCCCAATTGGTGCGAGAAGGCGGCCGACAGCTTCCGAAACGTTCTTGACATACGGAAGTGCCCGCCAAGATTTGGTGTCGGTGCGGTTAGGCCTTTCGTTCCTTTTGCGTATGCACCGGTCGGCGAAGTTGCGCGGGTAGCCATTGGCTTGGAAGACCCGTAGGAGGTATTGCAGCTCTGCGATTTTGTCTTCCGGCTCACTGCAGTGCGTTTCGACACGCCGATAGAGCGTCCTTACACAACTGCGTTTGTGGCTGATTGGGTGGTTACTGTTGAAGTTCAGTACTTGCATCGTATTTGTCGCTTTCCTGAACAGTTTGGTTTTTAGTTCACCACAATCTTTGCGGCATACGAGGACATCCAGGAAGGCCAGCTGGTTGTTCTCTTCCTCCTCTATCGTAAGTTTTAAGTCGGGGAGCCGGTGCTAAGTTGTTCTTTGAACGTCAGCACCTGATCCCGTTCGATGACGACGAAGGTATCATCCACATACCGGGCCCAGATTTCCGTTTTTTGGGCGTTGGAAGACCAGCGACTCTAACCGTTGCAGGACCGCCTCAGCTTTAGAATCTCGAAGTCGGCGAACCCATTGGTGTGTCCCTCACCTGTTTGCAGATTGTCTCGTCTCACGTAAACTACGTCCTGAGACAGAGCTTCAGGAGCTGATGGATTTGGGCGTGTCCAAGACGGTTCTCCGTTTCCTCGTATTTGCTTTGTAGAAGCAACTCGATTGTCTCCATCGCCATACCCCGGGTAGTAGAAGTTGTAAGGGACGAAACACGAAAAGATACCAAGACCTCATTTGGATGGAGGCTTACCCCTTTGAGTTTCTCCAGTAATTGTGCTGACGTAGAGACCGTGGTGTCTGACCCAGCGGTCAAGAACTTGAGACGACCGAAGAGTCACTTAGCCAGTCCGTGCGTTGGTGTCCCTGTGCCGAGGCGCCAGGCTATCTTGCCTTTTCCTACCTGTTCCTCATTCTTGAATTTACTGGTTGTTTAACTGAATGGAAGGAACACAACTCAACGCGACGCGCTTAGCACGAGTTGGAATGTCAGGTCGTTTGACTTTTGATTGTAAATTATTTCATAACTGTGGTCTTATCCTGATACTCATATTCTGGGAATGACGGATCTGTCTTTAGCGCTCTCTACAGTGGTGACCCTTTAACGTTCGCGCTTATACCTTGAATTGTTTGACTTTCTATTTGCATACCGTCCGATTGCCTTCTTTCAATCTACGATCATGACCTCTACGAATTACAACGATCCCACTACTTTTCTCAGTGGACTTGTTTCTTCTCTCCCAGACTTTTGGCAACGTGCGCCAGTTGGTCGAGGTTCTTCCTCCCACCATTCTTTCTCAAGTGCAGACGCCTCTGAGTGATCCCCCGACTGATGCTCCCTACACCAAGTTAAAGTCTGTGGACTGGCTATCAACCTCCTGGGAATTCTGACGTAGCAGGCCACTGAACGTCTCGACCGTAAGGACCTGTTGTATGGACGTGAAGAGTGAGAGGACGTCAAATGACACCATCCTCTTATTCGGTTCGATCGTGACTGCCCTTATTTTTTCGAAGAATTCCGCAGCCCAGGATCTCATAGAACTCATGGGACACTGCCTCAAGATATATTTTTCCTTTCTAGGGGATCACAAATCAGCAAATTAAGGGCACTCCGATGGGTTAACCAATCTCCGGAATCATTGCCAAAAACTGCAAAAACTGAAGAAACGACTGTTCGATTAATACAAACCCAGGTTTTTGCGCGCAACGGTGATGATACCTTCGTAATCATCAATGAAGATTAAATTAACTACTATGAAGAGCTGCTGAACTCGATCATTCATGATCTACAGTTGACAATGGAAAAAGAACTGGGGAACAAACTTCCATATTTGAATGTTCTTGTTTGCCTCCAATCAGACGGCAAACTGGCGACGTCAGTCTACACAAAACCGGCGAACACGCTGCAAATGATCAGTTACAACAGCAACCACCCACTGCAACACAAACGAAGCTGTATACGCACGCTAGACCGACGAGCTGAAACATAAGTGCACTCCAGTCGCCCAACTGGACGAGATGAACCTCCTCCAAGAACTATTCAGAGCCAACGGCTATCCGCGAACATTCGTTTCACAGAGCCGAAAGCAGCAAAGGAAACGGAATGAAGAACGCAGTCAGCAGAAATCGTGGCGGAGCATTCCATATATGAAAGGGGTCTCCGGCGCCGTAACCAGATCCCTCGCGTCGCTGGGAATAGGCGTTGCCAACAGGCCCGACTCAACAATCCGCCGGCAAGTGATGCGGCCAAAAAACCCGATCCCTTATCAGATGTCGGCTGTAGTCTACCGACTTCAGTGCAGCTGCGGAATGTGCAACTACGTTGGAGAAACCGGCCGGCGGCTGCAAACGCGCATGCACGAGCATAAGTTGGTCGTGCGAATTTTGGACCCTTGCCGCCCAAATGGGACACGTTTTCAACTTTGACGCCGTTGAAAATGTGGGCCGCGGTGATAATCATACGGCAAGGCAGTTGCAAGAAGCCTGAACGTCTACCGACTGTTCTGTCAACCGCCTCATCAATTTCCCTCCCCCTATCTGGTTTTACTGACATTCTTGACGGGGGACAGTCCCGTCGCGGAAAAATCGGGGCCGTCAGTTATTGCCGCAACCGACGAAGTTGGACGGGATTCAGGTCACAGTGACATGCGGGTCGAATGCAGCCACACAGGCGGTATTGGCGGGCCAAAAATCAAACAATGCGCGCCTTATAAAGAAAGCTGTGTGCATGACTTCTCACTCACTGAAGATGGGTAGAAGAAACGTCTACTCGAAACGTCAGCCATCCAATACACTTCTCCCAGTGAACGCCTCTTTTTCCTCTGCTTACAATATTGCTCAGAGCATTAATAGGTAGCAGTCTCTAGTTCGAATGCAGCCTTAGAGAGTACCTGAGTGCTCATAGGAAGACCACAGTACTGTTCAATTGCGGTGCCGACAGTAGATGGGCGAACTTTTGAAATCTCGACCGAAATTCCGACATGCGTTTTCGTCTCCAACAAGCTAATTAATTAGTTTTGTAAAACTAATTATCATGCAACATGTTTCCATAATAATTCAGTAACCTCTGGATGCCCTTACACGTTCATCCAGTGTTTCCAAACCAAAAGCCGTATATTTTCCGCATATGGATAACCATGTATTTCTCAAGGGTGTTAAGAGGAGGCATATGCAGTTCACAAAAATTATTTTATGAAAGTGGTTGTTGAAGTGAGATCTTGCAAGTGTTCGTTAGATGAAGAGCATAATCTGCACAGGAAATCGTTGTGAGTAATAAGCGTCTCGGAAAACAATAGCTTACAGTCAATTTTCAAGTTATGGTGTATAAGAAAAAAGCACCCAAAAAAATAATACGTTCAGCGTCCTCTTAGAAAGATAAACATCTCACTGGAACAGAATTATAATATCAATTGGGACTCGAAGTACCTACTTGATATTTTATTCTCAGTAATACAGATAATCTGTTTCGCCTGACAACTGCTTACTAACCTAATATCATATAAGAATCGTTTATTATGTCAAGATGATGCTAGTACAGACAACTGCTCTCATGATGGACCTCAATTAAACATCAGTGAAATATATTACTTTGCCTCCTGCCTCATTATAGGAGGATTTTCTTTGGTTACGAAGAAGAGCCCATGTGGAAAAATACCACTAAACATGCATCCTTTGTCGATACGACTGGTAGATAACTCACCCTTCAATGCCCGCATCAATTATCAAGGTACAACTTATAGTCTTGTGTCATCGGGGGCTAATTTGCCACAGAAAAACCGGCGTTTATTATCTTCATATAGAGACTGTTACGATTGCAAAGCGACTATCTTATCCTAATGTTGACAACAAATCAATTAAAGCAGTCATGTATTCGCAAAACAATGTTTTCAAACACGTTATTAGTGTCTATCGTTTGCAAATTGTATAGACGCACATATGCTTTCAAGGGTATTAGTAATATATTTCCTGGATAGTTTGATGACAGATTACTGAATAGGTCATATAGGCAAATGTAAACAAAGGCCTTTTATTCACGGGGCAAACAAATTTGGCCTCCTTCAGTTTTTGCTATTGTTGGCTGAGTCTTTGAAGTCATTTGACACAAATTTGCATAGGATGCTCTTATATTATGAATCGCCATCAACCGTATTTTCTTCGGTTTAAACATTCATACCTTGAAAAGCAGTTGAGACGTCTTAAATTTTGAACATGTATCCAAGGCAGGACTCCAAAAACTACTACAATACGTTTATATTTGTTAATTTGAAATGTGTATGTTCCTAAAAAATGCATTTGTAGGAAAATCATGTTTATGCAAAGTATAAGCGTTGGTCATCAATGATCATTCTTTACCGGAGCCGTGAAATTAAACAGTGTCCTCAGGATCGGATAGATTCTGCCGACGAGGACGCATCGTAGTGAACCGGACTGGCAATTTAACAGATTCTGGCGGACAAAAATGCCCAAACTGTTTCATATCCATTGGGGTTCGGAGTTGATTTTTGAGTTCAGGAACTAAATCATGTCAGTGGCTCTCTTTGCATTTAAAGGTAGATATAATATAAAAAAGTATGGGGCACGGTACATATCTCCGAAAAACGGATACATTATTCATTTCAGCCATTTGACTGACACTTTAAACTGCAGGCCGGTCTTTTGTAAGACTCGCTGTAGATTAACTATGCAACGGAACTCGAAATCGATCACAAATTTTAAACAGGCGCGATGATACAGTACTGTGCTTTTAAAACACATAGACTGTGTACCACCGCCCTACAAATAAGCAATACTTTTTGAAATTTTAGTTAACATTTTAGGATTATGTTGGGAGTGCCTAAAGTCGTAGCCCATAGTAATTCTAGCCAGAAGCTTGCAGCTAGACCAAAAGTTTGTTGGATTAGCAGATTTGAGACACAAATTTAAAAACAATGTTGTATCTTGCCATTAGACGACGTGAGATGAGAATTGAGATTGACGTTATATTTCAACGCTTCCTCACCGATTTTGTGTCTTAGCATTAGAAGACCAGAGAGAGGAATTGCGATTAATATAATATTACCAAGGGTTTATGTTAAATATTCCTGAATTGCCGGTGGTTCGTGTGCGCATTCGACTAAACAGTTGTGCTTTTACGGACATTAATAATCGACATTAATCTGGACAGTGGATGGGGTTTTCCCATTACGATTTTTTTTACCCAAAAATATTATAGGTACACTTTCCGACAACGATTACCAGTCCCCCAAAATAATGACGACAACAACTGACTAATAGAAGCAAAAAGGCGACTCCTAGGAAGCAGTCTTGAAGAAGGAGACACGATCGGTGGGACAAGAGCTTTATAAGCCTGACGTTTCGGATTCCCGCTCAAACCCAACATCAGAGACAAAGCAGACACGAGTTGTTCATGCATGAGGGGCTGACGTATTTATAGGATGCAGTAGCCATGCCATCGCATACCTAGGAATGTTCACGGCTCCCACCTTCATCAGGGATCGTTGCACGTGGTGTGATGGCCGACATTTGCGTCGTTAATTGCTGCAATTTCATCACGTGCGTTGGATGTTGGTGTGGTGATTGCTCGACCATCTGACGCTCTGACCGTGGTGTTATGAAAAGTGTTCACCATTGCGCTCCCCGCGTGGCCAATAACTCCGCCCAGGCGAATTTACAACACAGAGT